TGTTTCTTAAGTTGACCGTGCTATGCTCTCTTCACTATATAGATCTTGTGCAAGTTCCAGTTTTTTTGTGAAAGTTCCAGTTTTTTTATATTTCACATCTCCCGACTGCTGGGCGCGATAGGTACACATGATTGATGGCACCAAGGTAATACAAAGATTATTTTAAGAATTTGTTTGCACGATCGAAGTCATCTGCGGAAAGTTATTTCTGTGACACCGACGATCCTACATCCGCGGGCTTTAAGTTCAACATGTTAATGATGTCTGCAGACTCCTTTTTGTAATTGGAACTCCATCCAACCCAAGATTTGAATATGTCTTTTGCACTTTAGGTTTAGTAGTGTTTTTGCTGTCTCACTTAAGGGATGGGTAAGAAGAACGCTTATATCGAGTGGCATACCTAACACCTGGGAGCACAAGGACTCCCCTGTCGTGACGCAAATCAAAAGTCACAGGCAAGGAGATACTGCGATGTACTTGTTGCTCGCATTGCCTCGCCCATGGTCCTCGCGAGGCCACAGTAGAAGATAGAGTCCAGGTTCGTGGCTACCAGGATCCCCAGATCTTGAGGCACCAATGTACCTGAAAATAAAAACAAATCACACTCAAGTACTTGGCAGAGATACATTAGAATGTCTAGCATATTCTTTCGTGATCAGCACATAGATCCTTTATTTTTATGCTTTGTACTTGTACTTATAAAAAAAAACTGCTCCGTTACTGCCACAGCCATAGTCAACCTCGAGGACTAGGCCATGTAAGCCTTGAAATAATGGGTACCTGATTAAGGCCAATGATTAAGCATGTTCGTTTAACCCTCCTTCGCCTCAACCAGAGAAATTTCTGTCGAATATTCACATTCAACTGTAAAGACTATAAAAGCTACTACTGAAACGGAAAGATTATTCTACCCTCATGCTCAACAAGTGTCGACTGGGAATACAACTCCAGTTCATACATTCACTGAGCATGAGGGTAGAGTGTACCAGCAGAGGGCAGGCGTCTGCATAGGAAGATTTTAGTTGGCGCACCAAGAGGCTAACCGATAAAAATGGGTACTACTCTGAGCAAAATATCGAAAAGCGCAGATTTCGACTTGGCACTAACAGTGGTACACAGTATCTATTTTGCTGACTAAAGGGTGCTGAATCATTATTTTTAGCTACCTAATCAAACTAAATGTTCTTCCCGGCTTGCTCTTCAGGAAAGTCTAAATTTACAAGAACTATTGAGACAACCGCTAAAAAAAGCAATGGAAAAACCAGCAATCGAATTCGCCTGCTCTCTCCAGTAGCACGACATCTATGGCAGGCAGACCTGCAGAATGAGCAAGTTGTCTAAAAAACAGGGTATGCCCTGCGTATATTTTTTTTCGTGCCAAGTGCTGGAAGGCGGTTTCTCGGCATTCATTCTCCACAACCAAATTCCTTACAATCAGTTGAGAACAAGTTCGAGCAGTGAACTTGTCCTCGCCACTAGCATAACGTTTTAGAGTTGCCCGTGGAGACTCAAGTAAATTAGTTAATAAAAACAAGGAAGACCAACCTTCAAAAAAAGCCAACTTTGGCAAAGAAAATTATCGGAACAAAAATATGTGGGACACAGTTTTACAGCGTCTATTCGTGTGCTTAACCAATTTTGAGGCAATTCGACGGCAATGAAAGGAATACGCCCGAGTACCATTAAGGGAAAGACAGAAAGGATGCATACGTACAACTGAAAAATTTAGAACAACCACGAGCAGGAAACTCTAGTGAGGCTCTCGGAGTGACTCCATGCAATGGGCCTGCGCAGACCACAAAACAAGAATTGGTCAGAGCTTGCAGTCACAAGTTGCCTCATAGAATAAAGTTCCAGAAGCAACTGCATTTGGAAGTACAGTGCATTTCATTTATCTGCAGAACGGAGAGTTTAATAGCTTGCATGCATTCACTAGGTGATCCTGTCATGAATCTGCCAACTTTTCAATGCAGCACTATCTCACCAAATTATTAACCGTGCCGGGGAACACTAAACACCGAAAGCATTATTCCAAACTATCTCAGCTTAAAGTTGGCAGAAGCTTCAAGCCATCCTTGCGAATTCAGTGCAGAAAGCAAGCCATGTGACCTTGTAGTTGCAGGCCATGGTAGGTCGAGCTTATAATCACGTGTCACGCCGTTTTCGCTGCAATGGCTTGTAGTGTCAAAAGTGGCCCAGGTTAAAGAGATACAAAGTATAGATGTTTGTGGGTGGGGCCCTGGCCTAGTCTTCAGCTACATTGCGAGGTAGGCACTCAGAGGTTCCAACCGGGTTGTTTGCTGCCTGTAACCACACGATCATCTTGTGCCCAGCGATTGTTCGAGCTGAGTACATTACCTCGACAGTGCCGTTGTTTGACAAGCAGTTTTATGAATGTTAAAAATGACTGACTTACAGAGAGACTGCGTCTCAAAGACTAATGACTTGGGATATCTAACCGAATACTGATATATTAACTAAATGCAAAACAATTATCTGGCAGGCATTATATTTTCAACAGGCTGGGTCGACTCTTCATTTAGTCGAAGGAGTCGATGCGTAATAGGACAATACAAACAAAACTAGGTCTTTAAATTCCTTTTGCACCCCCAAATGATGTGTTTTTGATGGAAACGCACAAGGTCCTTGATCCGCACCGTTTGGTGTGGTTCCCGAGCCACGAAAAAGCGCCGAGTTGGCCGAGGACGATCAACGGCCCGTTTGCCGCTGTCGACCGGAGATGCGACATCCTCGGCTTGATGTCACGTTCGGTTTGTTGCCATGCACTTTGGCTTTACTATGCGGTACGGCTGGTGCGGCTGTCGAATACTTGTGGTGCACATTATTCGATACAGTCGCCCCAAGACGCCGCCATGAAGAGTTGACCGAGGAATTTGTGTGGAGCTCAACGTCGGCCTACGTTCCATTTCGGCATGTATGGTAACGTAACGATACCGCTGGTAAATGATGGACGTTTTGTGGGAAGGTGTCGGTCGTCTTTCTGCATGTATGATTTGGTGATACCGGTGTTCCTGTGGTCCGAGCGTTTTTTTGGAAAGATGGCGGTCGGTTGCGGCCATCGGATGCAAAATGATACCAGCCACACCGAATCATACTGGCAAGCAAACTGGCTGCCAGTATAGTCAGATGCGAAGCCATAGCGGTGCCGCTATCTCCAGTTATGCAGAACGCCAAACCAAACTAGCTGCATCCATAATAACCAAAAATATGTGGTGTCATACCAGAACTGTACGAGCAGCAGCCATGTTTCTCGCACGTTTTTCCAATAGGGTAATCACGATTATAATCACATATTTTCTCGCGTCGATGGTCTAACCTACTTTTCACGATCAAGCGATGGAGAAGAATGCCAAAGCCATACCGATATTTCATCGAAGCTGTCACTAAGCGTTTCTCTAAATTCATCAGACACGTAAGGTTCAAATAGAACGGGCAGCTTGAACACCCGAGACAAGGAACAAAAAGTGAGAAAAACAAACACACAGACACACACAACACACACACTCTCTTTGACGTTAAGACCGATTGCGACAGAAGGTACGATTGAATGGAGTCAACCCAGGGGCGCCACAAATGCAACCTCCAATAGCGCGCATCGCCTTGGTGCCTTTGATATGACCTACTAGACCAATAAGGCTCAGCGATTACTCGGCGTTCATGCGCTTATTTCTATGATCGATTGGTCTAGTCGCTGACAGCGAGCACACCAAGAGAATGAGCTTCGTGACCATGCTCCTTTGGCGTCGCTTGACTGACTCCATTAAATCGTAGCATCGACTCGGGTTGGATTTAATGTGATACGAAGTGCAGTGCGTCTTGGGGAAAAGGACGTAACCCAAAAGGGGTTAGGTTTTGTTAGGGGTACTTTGCACGGCCACGCTGTCGTATTTTGGTTATCTCTACAGAAAAAGGAGACTGGCAAGTGGTAAACGGTAAACCAGGGTGGCCGGCGCATGTCATTGTTACCTGATGCAATAGCTATTAAACTGAATCATTCGTTAAACGATCCCTAAAAATCTGATATTTGTTATCAGCAGTTATTTTGAGGCGTTCTAAACTTTGCAAAGATTTTGATAAGAGATTTACCTAATCTCGCTTTAGAGATCTGAGTCTACACTGTGGTAATATTTATGTTCATAATGGTGATGATGATGATGTTGATGGGCGTGACTATGGCGCAACTTGTAGGTCAATATTGAGGCTGTTTACATGAGGCGGGATTTCCGCTGCACTGCATAGCGAGTATCAGCCTTTCAGTGTTCAAGGTAAATAATTTCATTCAAGGCCTCGCTATTGTAAAATTGCATTTCGTTGCATTCGATTTGTCCTCTACACTCTTGGTGGCGATTCTTGAAACAGAAAAGAAGAAGACCGCTCTGGTAAATGATGCAGAAAGCAGCAGCCTTTGCTGAATTGAAAGCAGGACATTGAAGGCTACCAGAGTTTGTAGCCGCCAAAGCCTTTTTCATATAAACTTAAGGGAAAGCTGTTGTTTCTGCGATAAAAGAAAACAGGAAGACGAAAATGCAATATTACAAGTTCACATTACGGCTCAAAAATGGGAGATGTATCCATGCAGTTTTCGGTGTTTATTCATTCGGAAATGTTTTCTGCTATGGCTGTTCGTTTTTTTGCGATATTTTTTGCACCTATATCAAAGTATCCACAGTTGCTAATAACTTCACTCAGAAACGCAGGGCGTATTGAGTCTCGTCCGTCTTATTATAGCCCATTCGCCAATAAGATGACGGCCTTAGCCAAAGAGAACACATAAGTGCCTATCACGAAGAAGGAAGTCTGAACACACTAAGACGCGCCATGCGTCTCTCAAGCTGCAGGTGATTCTAAAACTCGGTGAAAGTTCAGTAATCAACTACCTATTCAAATGTGCTCTCTAGTTCGTAGACGCGGTTTGCAGATTGCGGGATGCCATGTTCCAGATTTTATGATTCTAAAACAGTTTGAATTTTTGGCCTCAGGTTCAGCGCCGAGAATGACGGAAGCTTTCCAAAAATTGCGTACCAGCCCTTCGGCTTGGGACCCAGAAATTGTGTCGGTTCTATGCTCGCGCTGTTGGAAATCACCTACACAATTGCAATGATGACACACCGTTACCGTTGGGAACTAGGCCAATCTCAAAAGGTATGCAGTTTTTAGGTCTTAATGTTACACATATGCGTCACTTAGAATGACTGGATGTGCATTTGAGACAGGAGTTATCAGTAGCGTTATCCGTAACGCAAAGCCTTCTTCTGAGTTCATCTGTTATGATAACTTGGAGAGTTTTTGTCGAATATAGTCCAATTTATATTCATGAAACACAATTGCTGTACAAGAATTTGTACACTCAGGGCAGTGAATGTTAGTTTAATCAATAATTGTTGCTTGTTTTACTACCGTGTTATTTATGTTTGACGGGATTTTAGACTACCAGTGAAGGAGTATAAGTTTGTACAGGAAAATTCGATTCGACGCCTAGACTAGCTTGATAGGCAAGCATATAAAGCATAGAAGTTAGCTTTATTAATATCTAATATGAAGTTAGTCTGAAATCTATTTAAAAATGTTTAATTCTAGTTTGATATTAGACATTTATGAGGCGCACGGGCTCAATCTGAATAATAGAGAAAGCGCGCTAGTTTGCCAATATAATATATTCGCTTTTATTTGAAATTCATTTAAGATGGAAGAGGTAGATTGTTATACAAAATACGTCAAAAGTTTGCGTTTAATGCCATTTCTCGGCTTAGGAAAAAACATTGAAAATGACCGTATATCTTAAGAGATTACTTGCGAGCTCACTATTATACCTGAATTGAGTATGGTAACATTGCCGAGCGAAAGGGAGAAGTAGAGTGAATAAAAATATCGAAATATATTCGCCCTTCGTACTTGCTTATTGTTTCTGAAGACTGGTGTTCATTTCAGTTATCATTTAGCGAATAAAGCAGCTAAAGCAGCTAAGCACTCTGCATTCGGGTATATATAATAACCAGTAAGAATGTGCAAATGTCGCTTTAAATAAAAAAAGGCCAAGTCAAGAATCGTCTTTGCAATGCAAAAAAAAAGTAACGACAACTTTTTGTTTGTTTGTTTTTATGTACATTTAATACAGATGCCGACAAAGAACGACATGCTTTTCCAGTTTATATCACGGTATAGACAAATAAGCGCATAAAACCAGAAAATGTTCTTACACTATTTATAAAAAGAACTAAAGAAAGAAATTACCCTCATCTCCAATGACATTTCCGACATCACAGAGTTCTTTTAAAGATTATAAGGCATAAACATGTCAATAAACGACTAAGTAAAACAAAAATTCATACCACTGGGAGGTGACAGTTTAGAGCTTGCAACAACACGAACAGTTTCCTTGACCTTAAAGAACCCGTATGAATACAAAAGCTCACGGTTTTCTGAAGAACGTTTAAACTAGGGCTGATACTGCGTAATTCTCTACGAATAATGATTTGTACAACTCCAACAGTACGTGCTTATATTGTGAATAAAACAAAATATTAATGTTGAAATGAGCTCTTTTGGTGAATTTCATTGTTGTTGCATGCGATACTAAGCAATCCATCCTAAAATGGAGTCCTCTATTACATTCTTGTGTTACACTCAGGGAGAAATGCCCCTGGACCAGTATGCCATGGTGTCAATTCCTGGAAGGGGGCCTTGGATTGTCTTCCACAGAATATGAGGACGCCGGTAAAATTGTTACGATATCCAAAGCTATTAAAATATATTATCATTTTATTATCCACCCGCAGTGAATGTCCTTATTACGAGGAGGCTGCACTGAAATCCTGGCATCTCATGCACTTCGCAATAAATTCGTCTATTCTAGAAGCTATTGTGTATCTGTTACATTGACATACTTTGAACTGCATGGGCAGTGGCCGAGTGTGTTAGCGTACCGGAGCTCGGAACACGTGAAGCGGAAGCTGGCGTTGTAGATCTGAGGCATCCTGGGTCCAATGACCACCCTTGCTTGTTTCCATGTGGATGAGCTTGATGGTGGCGTACGGTCATGGGCACTACTGCGTGATTCACGTTAAATTTTCTGCACTCTAAAAATGCGTGCGCTTTTACTTATCCGCAAAACACTCAAAAAGCCAATCACTGCGATCTACGAAATCAGCTGAGCGAATGATGAGGCGTAACATCCGTATAGACCTAAAAATGAAGTCTGCGCTGTGACGTTATGCAATGCAAACTGCCTTGCTTACATTGCATAAAGCCCCAGTGTGACTTAATTTTTGAGGCCTAAACAGGAGGTCCTCCTCATCATTCGCTGAGCTGATTGAGCACATCGCAGAAATTGGCTCTTCGAGCGTTTTGCGGGTAAGTAGACGTAGAGGCATATTTAAAAGTGTAGACTAGCAGTGATGATTCACTGGCTAAATGTCTCATTTAGCCCGTGAATCTCGCACGAGGCACTAAGGACAAGAACGGAACAAAGATATGAACAGGACAAGCACTTACTATCAACTGATTGTTTGATAGTAAGCGCTTGTCATGTTCCTATCTTTGTTCTGTCCTTGTCCTTTGCGCTTTTGTAATTAAGACGTTTACATAACTAGCCGAACACGCAGTTAATTTTAATTCTGAAACGAGGGCCAACATATCTAAAAATCAAACCGACCGTACGATTTCTTCACACAAAAGTCAAAGATGAGCTTTTATTAAAGTGCCCCTCGAAGGATTTCAATTTACCAACAAACGACATTACGGTTAACACGACATAACATAAACACGGAAGCCCATATGAACAGACAGACTCGTTTGTGTCTTGTCATCTTCCTAGTTCCAGTGTTGTTTCTTTTAGTTATTCGCAGCAATGATCACTCAGAGATTCAGAAACAACCAACAATAGTTCAACTCTAAGTGCCGTTGATCATACTTGGAGTCACATTAAATACGCCTCTCGAAACTGTTTGCAAACAAACCATTGCAAGTTCCATGCGTTTTTTTTTATAATGAGGATTGAAGTGCTGTCATCTAAAATACTATAGTGATGGAAGGTGCTCTGTTGGGATATGCATATAGTACCATCCAATGTAGGTCCTTCCCGCGGTGATATAGGCTGGAAGATGTTGAACCTAAGACAACCAGACTTTTGCCGCCCAGAGACAACGATCAACGAAAATGTGAAACACAGCAGATTCTAGACGCACAGCACAAATAGAAATATAAGCTCCTAATATTTTCATTCATCCAATTGGCTTCTTTTTAAAATTAAATATACTTGTTTTAATCGCGTAAAGCAATGGTGTAGCTTTTCTCACTTTCATTGTGTTTTTAAAACTATAGAGTCTACCAACGTCACTCATCGACTGGAGGAAAGATGTCCCTATCAACCGCTGTGCCCACGAAGGGCTGATTTTCAATATTTCAGAACGCATCGGCTTTTATTTTTCTAATGGCGAATTTTCTTGGTCGCCCCTTTCCTGTCTTTGATTCGATACAAGCGCTTCCTCCTCGACACCAGAGCGATCGGGACCTTTTTAAGCCAACCTCGACTGCTGGGCTGAAAGCGCGATCATTCTCGCACCAGTCATACAAGTATAACTTCTGGACATTGGTGATAGACAAAATTTCTACAGGGCACGCTCGGGAGTTTATCAAAATTTACTTTCCCAGCGCGATCAAATGACGGCTCTGTCGGGCTAGACAATTTTATGCAGCGGCGTGTTCAAATAGAATCACGAGCATGCAAATTGATCTTTGCGGTGCGTCAAGAAATGCCAATGTTTGATGATTAAAGCGTACAGCGTAAAGTGCCAGAACAGAAGGGTAGATATCAGGCTGATTTTGTTCCAGAACTCGATGGGAACCTTCGACAGTGTGTACCGTCGGGGACCGGGTGGTGATCGTGGAAGATGGGTCCGCCAGGACGGGGGTTATGACGGTGCACCAAAACCTGTCCCACCCAATCAGGCTCTAGTTAGAATTCCATTGGTTACAAGGCACGAGCACTTTCAACCAATTGAACGAGAGGTCATTGCTGTTGCCGTGGGGGCATTAAGATTGTGTCCCGCGGTTGAGAGTCTAAACCCCCGACATTTTCATGTTCCAGGGAAGATATACTCATTCTCGGTTTCGGAGAGAATCGTCGAAACGTGCCTCATCGGCAAACGTATCATCACCACAGAGCACGGGCGGGAGCCTCAAAGTAAACGAAAGCCGCGCCCGACACATTTGGGCGTCCTGGGAAGTGGTTTAGCGGAGAGTCCCACGATATATGTCATGATGAGCTCAAAATAGCAAAGGTTGTGCCCAGTATTAGAGAGGGAGATATTTCGAGCTGTCTAGTTATTGACCAATATCAGTATTAAGTGTAATTAATACAATTTTTGAAAAAAAAGACTTTGTAAGCATGTTCATGAATTTAAGAAATCACGATATTCTCTCCCTTAGTCAGCACGGATTTAGGCCGAATAGATCTACCTCTTCTGCTGTAGCTGTGTTAACCCAGCTTCTTAGTAAGGCCCTTTTTGTCAATAAATTTGGTGTGGTTGTTTATTTGGCTATAAGTAAGGCCTTTCGATACAGTTAATCTCCCTATACTATTAATCAAGCTTTATGAGTACGGTTTTTAGGGAAAAGATAACATAGTGATATAAAAGGTACCTTTCTATACAAATACAATTTGCAAGGCATAATAATTTTATTTTTACACCACAAACAGTGCTCAGAGGGGTATCGCAAAGCTCCTGTTTTGGGGTCCATTATTTTTTTCTCTTTACATCAATGATTTTACTTCTGTTTTATGTCACTTTGAACCACTCAAATATGCTGATGATACAGCATGCGTTTTTGTAGGGGACACAATAAGTGAACTACAAGGTAAATTATTAAGTGCACTGTGTTTCACTATAGGAGAAAGGAAACGAGTTTTGAAGAATTTGCTTTATGCTTAGATAACGCGCAGTTGCTGCATGTTTCCTGTTACAAATATTTTGGTGCCTTGTTGGAAACCGATATGCACTGGAAGAATGAAATTAAAAGCATATGCACAAAACTTCCACACGGTTGCTACAGACTGCTAAAGACTCGGGAGTTCTTCAATTCGTCTAAACTGTGCATTCTATACTTTGCATTTGTACATAGTCACATGAGCTATTGTATAGAGTCTTGGATCGGAACATATAGCACGTATTTAGAGCCATTCAGTCGATTACAGAAAAAGGCTATGAGGCTCATTACTTATTCTAGATAGACTGAACCACGTAGTCTTTTATTTCGATCAGTTGGCGTGCTGCCACTAATCTTCCTATGCAAATTAAAAAATAGTTGAAACAGCCTTTAAAATAATAGGAACTAACGACCCACTTCCATTACACCTATTTAAATTACCATTACGGAATGCGAGGGCTGCAACAAATAATCTGCTTAATGTTCCACCTTGTATAAATGTTTATTGAGAAAGGCCCTTTGAATTCAACGCTGCTCTAGTATCGAATGATATCCCTCCCGACCTCAAATGTAAACCCAATTGTTTGTCATGCTTAAAGAAGTGTCTAATTAATTTGCATGCCAATGAATAAATTCAATTTTAAGCGTCCTGCCTATACTTTTCAATTAGTATGTATATTGTTTTGTGTATACTTTGATATGCGCGTACAGAGTGCGACACCGCTAGTGCGACCGAGCGATCGCCGGTTTTTCCCGTTTTTCTCTTTGAAACCGTGGGATGTCGTCCAAGTTATTATTGCCACGGAAAGAGCTCATTTAGTTCTATAATATAAGCGATAAAACTTCGTGCTCGCTAATACTATTTAGAAGTAAACTGTGAAAATGCGCTGATGTCGTGTTCGCGCTAACTGTGTCGCGATGTGTACATCTGTTTTGTTAGCCTGCCGCATTGTAAATTTTATTTCTAATGTGAAACTCGCGACTGGCCTTCAGGGGTATGGGTCAAAGCAACGAGTGGGTATTTTTAAACAGAATAGCAAACGAATAATAAAGAAAAGGAAGAAAGAAAGAAAGACTCTGGTTCCACGCCGAGGCGTATACACCAGTTGCGCCTGGTGCCTCTCCAGACAACGTCACGAACCACTGAAACCCGATCCGAGGTTTTCGACGAAGTCGTTCGAGCTGGAGACGCCGCCCAGTTTACGAAGTGGCGTGCCAGCTGCTGAGCGCTCGCGTAGATTAGTGTGCCCGGTGGCCTCCTGCCCCTTTTGAGAGGGAAGACCCGCGGGCAATGACCCGACGTAGGGGTTATACCACTCAGCCCGTTGTGGAAAAACTATAGTACTGTGTACTGGTCTGTGATGGCATACCGGTCGCGAGACAGTACGAAGGTGCATGCGATCGCCGGCTGCCTGCGCGATCCGTGATCTGTGACGTCATTTGTTGCCACTTCGGGACCAGCTTTGATGAATGGGCGGAACCGGACACATCAGTTGGAGACCCGCTTCAAACACCCTAGACGTAGTATCGCATTGTCTTTCTAACCTATAGTATTGAACAGTCACCTCAGCCGGGCGCTGCTGTTCTTCCCTTAAGCATGCAACGGGCACGATTGGGCGGGCCATTGTTTACGCGATATTTGGGGCATGAGATCATCCGTTGACATCACAAAATGCTAATATTGCCACAAAGAAAACTAAAAAACGAAGAGCAAGATTTAAATAAGGATAACTTGTGCGTGTAACTAGAACAACGAAGACTATGTCCCTCGGCGACAGATGGAAGCAGCCTGCTACGACTTATTTTATACCTGCGCTGTTCTGAGGAATATGTTAAACAAGATCA